ACGAGGGGAACCGTTTGAGGGGGGTGACCTATATTCGGGCCTCCTGGAAGTTATAAAAGAGCGGAATTTATTCTCGTGTAGAGGTGGGGTCGAATACCTCCATCGTGTCCCTGCGAGTCGTAGGAGGCGACGAAAAGGGAAGTCTCAAATCTGAGATAGTAAAATATGGTTTTGAGTCCCAAGGGCTCGAACCTGAGAAAGACTGCACTGGCAAGGTCCAGCAGCATGTACAAATGACAGACCCGTACTCTCGTCAGAGAAGGCGCCCCACAAAAATCAAGACCGTAACTGTCAAATAGTAATAAATATCAGGTCACGAGCCCCACATGGGGCTCGCCACCAAGACTTACTGGCTGACTGACCGTCAGTCGCAATGTGACTTGGACTTTGACTTTTTGTAGGAGCACTCTGTGTGGAGGAGGTGACAAATACCTCCACACAACGTTTCGGAAAATGAATCTGTCTCCGTTTTCAGGTGAAGGGGAGTGGAAGACACTGGTACAGTGTTTGAGGTTAGCTCTTTCTATGGGACCGAACTGAGTAGATGTCTTCCACTTCCCCCTCACCTGAGGACGGAGACAGATTCAGTATCCGAAACATTGTATTTCCAAGCTTCTAGAATATCGGACGATGGACAAAGACCAAAAACTCAGTAATTCTAAGAAATTATTACTAATTTAAATTTTTAAACGATGATGTTTTTGATGTGTTGAATAAATTTTATGAATAGCGTTTATTCTGAAAATTAATGAAGTTCCTACAATCCTGAAGATGAATAATGTAAGTTCAGACGTTCAGAATATTATACTGAGGGTCATGCGGGATATTCCGACGCCTTCGAGACGCAACTTTCATTTGCTCTCCGCTGACAGCAGCAAACACTAAATTTGAAATTTCAAACTTCAAACGGCGACATTTGAATACTGATCCGAAGTCGGTCAGGCGAATTCTATCATCTTGAAATCTTTCGTAAATGTACCAATCTTATGAGAATTTACAAAAACTCTAACCCAACTTACGTATGCATTTTAAAACCGTTTACCGAACTTGAGAAGCGACGAATTGTAGCTGAACTGGATGCACGCTTGAAACCGATTGCTACTGAGAAGCGTTACAAAAGCGTGTACCACAATTCAGGTTTCCGGCGCAGTGAACGCCACCATGTGGCCTAGTGGCGCATTTTAGTTACTTGTCCGGGAATAAGGTTTATTCAAAACACCAGCACATTGACGTTTTCTGTTCCTACGAAAGCCCAAAATTCTCTGAATAGTTCCTCACCCCCACGCTCTGGCCTCGGTATGAGAGTCTAAAGGGCTTCCAACGGTCCACATTGTCACATGGACTGGATTATCTCGTCTGGCACTGAACTAAAGACTGCGACTGCAGTTATAGTGTAAAGTAAGGATTCTGATGACTACATTGCAAGGCAGAACGCTTATGATGGCGCGGGTTCTGCTCCGCTTGTTTTGATGCTATACACAACAGCTATTTTCTGCAAATCAGCGAATTTCATATTGTATAAGACATGGCATCTAGAAATCTGGTTGCTGTATAGGCTAAAGGTATTAAGTATTGTCACATATTTGTTCAAAGTGAGAACTGTGGAGCCAGAAAAACAGCCGTTGCTAGTGAATGGCTCTGAAACAACATGCGTTTCTAGGCAACGGAGCGATGTCCATTGTTAGGCAGCATTTTCTTAATAAGCAAGAATAGAAAGCTGCTGCTAGGGAACGGCTCGGTAAACACGTTCCCATTGCAACCGATACTCATACGAGAATGAACGGTGTTGTCTGCGCTGGCCGCGCCGAGGAGTTATACGATAACTGGGGTAACTAAGTCAGTTCTGTACGGGATCCTGAAGAAAAGTCAGTGACAATTGGTTGAGTGCTCAGCTGATGGTCAGTTACTCTGTGAAGAGAAGACTTATTTGCAGCAAGGGTCAATTGAAAGGGAGCCGCCGTTCAGAGAGGACTTCAGCCCCGATGAACAGGAATAGCCACTGTTAGAAGCCGTTACCAGGCAACTACTAGTGAAGACACTGTGGGATGGAATAGACATAGCGTGATTTTGAGAAGTGTGGAAATAGCGACAGTGTTGTTATTTGTAGTTACGACCTGTAAGTGCTCAATAAATCCAATATCAAATCAAAACCCCGACTATAGTCACATACACACGTGACAGTATGATAGAGACAATATCGATGGATGAATTTGTTCATAGACATGTAAATGATATGATCAGTTCTGGTTTTGTATTTCGTGGATACGTAACTAATTCTATGGAAAAGAATCCTTCTTGTAATGCTAACAGTCGCTTATCTAGTCAACAGCTACACTGCGTTTTATGGAAACCGAAGGCTTATTATTGTATTCAAAGGAGCCCGCCTCTGATCCTTATTCTGAGCCAGATGTACTTAGTCCACGACCACACATCCCATTTCTTTGATATCCATTTTAATATTATCCTGCCATCTACGCCTAGGTCTCCAAAGCGGTCCTTCCTGTCAGGTTTTCCAACCAGAATTTTGTACTAATATGTCACGCATGCATAATGCATGCTATAGACTCCGCCCCTTCAGTCCTATTTGATTCAGTCACCGTAATAGTATGCAGTGTAAATTACAAATTGTGAAGGTGCTTGTTACGTGACTTTCTCCTCCATCTTCCTTTTGATTATTGTTTCTAAACACAAAGGCCGGTCACGGTAGCTGAGCGATCTAAGGCATGTACTGTCTTCGCTCGCTTGGAACCGGGAACGTGGGTTCGGATCCCACTCAGGGCATTGATGTTTAGTTTGTGTGTGTGAGTTTTTCTGTGTTTGTGTATAGGTAAAGGCCGTGCGACGAGCTGATCACCCGCCCAAGGAGTCCTACCGAATGTGTAAGGTCTAGAAAAACCGAAGTGAACGGAGAAGTTCATGGAGGCAAGCCTAGGCCCACTGGGGCTGTAGTGCCAAGGGGGAAAAAAAGACAAAGAAATTTTTAATTGTAATTATTTGCCTTCCTTTATATAGAAGCCTGAATATGGTATTCTAAATTCCAGAGGGGAAAATGTCCGATCCAATAGGCTTACATATATTTTCGAAGTACGTTCATTGCGATTTCCCTAAGGTTTATCATAATTTTTTCAATTAATTTATTGCAGAGCTGATTAAACTACAGATATCATAGTCCTACTGCACAGAATTGACAATTATGTCCTTTGTGAGTTCTTTTATTCAGTGCTTTATTCATCACATCGAAAATTTTGAAGGAAAAGTTGTTCATCTTAATATGGTGTACTTTTCCAGGCGTATCGTGTAGCATTTCTTGCATGGCGACTCGATTAGTGTTGTTACAGCTCCTATTTCAGAGCGAAGCCGTAACCGAACACGAGAGGTCGACTGTGGCTTTGCTGGGAAAAACGTCGGAGGCAGCTCCCGCGGCATGTCAAATGAATCACACACATCACGCCACAATCCTCTGTCACACGTAAATTCAAACGTAGATGAAACGACAAAACACGTTCTCAGAATGAAACGAGGAAGTTTGACACAGAGGATTTAAATGATAAATCTTAAGGTTACAGCAACAATGGCGAGCTACTTCATAGATTACTGAACTGAACTAACTACACGGGGAATAACCCTTCTTTAAGAAGCTGACAGCTAATTTTACCCTCTTTCCATTCCCCTGCCATTATTTTTTTTTCCTTGGCACTACAGCCCCAGTGGGCCTAGGCCTACCTCCATGAACTTCTCCGTTCACTTCGGTTTCTCTAGATCTTACACATGCCGTAGGACTCCTTGGGTGGGTGATCAGCTCGTCGCAAGGCCTCTACCTGTACACAAACACAGAAAAGCGCACACACACAAACTAAACATCCATGCCCTGAGTGGGATTCGAACCCACGATCCCGGTTTCCAAGCGAGCGAAGACAGTAAATGCCTTAGGCCGCTCGGCTACCGTGACCTGCGCCTGCCACTAATACCTATCATAAACTAGAGTAATGCAGCCCACACTATCACATTCTATTTCTGTAATACCCAATTTAAACACAATAGACCACTGTACGTCGCGGTGCAAGGGCCGAGAAGGCCCACCCCTTATACATTCAATACCCATTTTAATAGCAGACCTATTCTCCCATCTACGTTTAGGTCTCTCAACTGGTCTTCTATGCGTGATACATGCCTAATCCATTTAATTTCCGTGATTTGATCACCCTGATAGGACGTGACGAAGAACAAATATTAAGAAGCTCCTCACGGTGTATTCTTCTCCATGTTCCTACGTTAATTATTTCCACTCCCCTCTGTCCCCATATTCTCTTCAGCACCCTGTTCTCAAACAACCGCCATTAATGTTCCTCCCTTAGGGCGAGAGACAAGGTTCACACCCCTATAAATCAACATATAAAATTGTAGTTTGGTTTATTTATTTTCATATTTTAGACGCGAAACCGATTAAAATTGTAGCTGGAACAAGGCAAGAACTGCGGCTGGCAGTTTCCTTAAGAAAACGACAAAATAGTAGAAGCCAGAATAACCGGTCTCTCGGGCAGAAGCGCTAACCCCTAGACCACGGCATTCGATTTCTCGCAGGCAAAAAATGGGTTCGGGGACCATAGTTCGTACATAGACTCCCTTCTCGAGAAGCTATGAAACCGAGATTCGAAATCTCAGTCCTCTGAAACCAGATGGCTGTCGTGGCAACTTTAATTCTTAGGGTGTATGTAAACAGCCGCGTGTTGTGTGCTCGTTCTAAGGATACTAGTTTGCTGGCTGTGAAACGTCATTGGATGGACGTCGAAACAGTTTGTTTAGTTTAGATATCATTATGACAAAAAGAAAAGGCTGAGTGCTATGATAATGTACGACTATTGAGTTATCTCTGGAGTACTATAATGTGATTGAGTGCGGTGTGTCTACGCGCTCACCTGTTCACCCGCTGCAGGGGTGTTGGCTGGCAGGCCGCAGCAACAGCAGCACGTGGGTCCCACACAGAAGTGGTCTCGTGCTGTAGTGTAGCGCTGACAGTGCTAGGACGCAGCAGTGGTGCGCTGCTGTTGCTCAAGTCTCCATTCACACGGCAACCCTGGCCCTCCTTCTCTGCCCCGTTGTAAGTACGTAACAACATATACAGTTTCGTAATTTTAACATTGCTTTGTTACAATCCCGAAATTATTTTCTAAGTTAATATTTTCGAAACTAGGCAGTTGTTAAGTAAATACTCTTATAATTGTTTTGCATTAAGAATTAGTTGAATAGGGCATTTGTCAGTGAGATAAGTTGTTTATCGTGTACTTAATCCATTTGATCATCTGACAAGGATTGGTTGATCTACATCATCAGCCTAATATTAAGTACAAGCAAGTGTTTGTCCTTGACGTATTCTAGGTTATTATGATTAGTAACTGAATTGGTTTAGCACTTCCGTGTCAGACTTGTGATGCGTATTATGTTTCTTATCGATTTTGTAACCGATAACAATAATTACACTAAATTAGACTCGCAGAACGTAATAGCAGTGTATTTATTGTACTCATAATTCATTTTACAAGCCACAAGGATTTGTGCAGTGTCGGATTTTCTTCAATTAGGTGACATTACTTAGCAATTGTTTTACCGCCTTATTAAGTTCTGAGTAAGTCACAGAACGTGTTTTAATGGTGTTACGTGAGGCCTATCGATCAACTGCTTCCTTGTGCTTAATTTTGTAACAGACCATATTTCGTTCAATAGTCCGGTCCTAGTGATCTGTATTGGAGTTAACAATGAAAAGTAAAGGTGGATTCAAGTTAGGTTAGGTTTGCATAACATCTAACTTTTTAATTTATCTAAAAGTTGATTTTGAAATGAGTAGGCTATGATTTGAGATTGGCGACGGCGTACTTTGAAACAAAATCTGATTTCATTTTAAAAGTGTTTCATAGTTTCTCAAAATTTTCACTCTCTTGACATGTGGGGAGCCAGGTACGTTTTATGGTTTGTCTGAACATTTTACGGCGTAGAACATGAGACTTTTTATTTTCAGACGCTAAGAAATTCTGTTTACGTCACATGCGTTGTGATGCAATTTGACAGGTTCATTTTTATTGCTGCTCATCATGCAACTGTGCAAGAAATAATGCTCTGAGACACAGTGCAAAGAAGCCAATTTACGCTGTAAGGCAATGACGATTGTGAACATAAAGTACAACTGTCCTGGAATATAGATTCTTATAAATCGCTTGTAAACCGAAATGAGCAGGATAAGGTAGTTCTGTACTCTTCATCTGTACAGTACCTGTCAGAAGTAATCAAACTGCTGTCCTCTAAATAAATCAGATTATCTCAAAAATAACTCTATCCCCCAAAATAATACAGCATTGAACGTCACCCGTGTATCTTATCTTCTGAAGAAAGGTACTTTCATACATAGCTCTCTGAGTTGATTGGTTTAGAGATAGCGTTCCAAATTATATTTTCATATACAGGAGAACGCTGATTATTCGAATTAATTAGTGACAAAGGTGGTTCGGATAATAAAAAATTCGGATAACTGGATTAAATTCTATTCCACGAAAAACATTATTATATAACGTTATTATAATAAATGTACTTTTTTTTTCCTTGGCGCTACAGCCCCAGTGGGTCTAGGCCTACCTCCATGAACTTCTCCGTTCACTTCGGTTTTTCTAGATCTTACACATTCGGTAGGACTCCTTGGGCGGGTGATCAGCTCGTCGCAAGGCCTCTACCTGTAGACAAACACAGAAAAACGCACACAAACATCCATGCCCTGAGTGGGATTCGAACCCACGATCCCGGCTTCCGAGCGAGTGAAGACAGTGCATGCCTTAGACCGCTCGGCTACCGTGACCGGCATAATACATGTACTATTATAACAAAAATTAAGAAAAAACTTTTAATACGGCTGAAATATGAAAAATTAATAAACGTATTGTAAATTAACATTTTCCAACATTTTATTTGAAAAAGACCAGCAATGGTGTTTGTTTAACAGACGCAATCTTTGGGTGCTGTGATTCTGTTAACTGACAGTTCGGATAATGGACGTTCTACTGTACGTAGTTTGAATCTTGCGTGGTCACTATAAGCACTGAGGTCTTCAGCGATTTTCCTTAGTCCACTAGGCAAATACTCTGCTAGCTGCTTCAAACAGGCGACCATACATCGTTACAAATCCTTACCTAGTTGTCATTTACCACATTCTCAATATCATCTTCACACTATTCCTCTACTGGTCCCAACCCTGAGCCATATGAATCCAATCCACACTCATCTTCACAGTTTCAATAAGAGCCAAGCATTTGTGGTCTTGCCCGTAGTGCTACACTTCCTGCCACGGCCTCTCATTAGTTCCGAACATTCTCCTACTCACTCTGCTCCCAAGCACCCTGAGTTCCCGTCCCTCTCTTAATATCGCAGACCACATATTACACTCGCAAAAGAAAATTGCAAGTAAAATTATAGCTCTCCAGTTCGGCTTCATTGGCTCGATTTATCAAAGTGCTTGACAACAGCAACAAAGCCAATTTCAGGCAAGCACTGCAGGAGAAGTTGCAAATAAAACACGGAAACGTAAACTTACGTTAAAGCAGACAATGTATATAGGGAACGAAATAAGAATAACACTGCAGTAAGAAAGAGATTACATAAATAAAGTTAAGAATCCGAATGACCAACCCATGTACATTTAATTGTGATTTATTAATACATATAATACGCCTAATGCAGTTAAAGGCCGCGCGATCTACGTCATAAACAGTGTTCCCTCGCTCGAACGGTGCGATCGTGGGTTCGAATCTCAAGGCATAGATGTCTGTGTGTACGTTTATTCTGTGTTTGTGTTGTCTTGTATGTAGGACGGACTGATCACTAGTCCAAGGAGTCCTACCGTCTGTGTAAAAAGGATTACGAAACGAAAAAGAGGCCAGGACCGAACAAAGGGCTGTAGAAGCATTGATGAATGAATGCAGTTAAAGAAACCTTACAGGAATCGAACCCCTATTCCGTTGTAGACCAGCCTGTCGACTTATCTGTCGCGGCTCCCAATAAAAAAAAATACTACGCAATTCAATTTAGTGTCTGCCAACAGCAGTGGTCTGTAACAGGCAAACATTTAACATATACGCAATCAATACAAAGTGAAACGAAAAGAAATAATGCCAATTTAAATAGATTTATGCAAAGAAAATTGTATGCTCCAGGGAATCGTGTTCCTATTAAAACCTAGAAAACTGACACATTCTACAAGCGGCGATGTCACATGTGCCTCAAGGAAAGGTCCTTGCGCTACAGGTCACGGTAGAAATTAAAAGGTCCCTTTGTCCCAGACAAAGATATCCATGATACAGCAACATTACAAATAAATGGATAATCAAGATACCATTGTCTGGAATAAGTCGTTCTAAATTCCATACGTGCTAGAATCAAGTCATAATTGGCGAGAAAATTCAAACGCATAAAGTCGACTGCAACAAAAATTTTAAATTTTCTTGTGTGTTTATTTAATTTTACTCTAACTTGCCAATATGCAGTCAATCCAGGTGACCGAGGCGCATTCAAGGGTCGCCCGAATTAGAGCAATATACAGAACCTTAAGGCCTTCGATGGGAGAAAATTTCTTACGAACGAACGAGCCTTAGAAGGCGTAGTGCATCATAAAATACGTAATCTTACTGATGAAAATGCAATTTATTTCAAGCATCTTTCAAGATCTTTTACACAGTTGATAAGAAAAATTAAAATATCACCAGTATGATAGTTAGAATGGATAATTTTAGTCTTACGAGTAAACCGGTTCTGACGGTCTCTTCGCTTACAGATTTCTTATATTTTTTCTTCTACCCTGAAAATGGAGGCGATACGTTCCTGCGAAACGTCGGTTAACACCACATATACACGGTGCCAAATCCCAGAAAACTGCTTTCTTCATAGTCACCGCCGTGAAAGCCTCAAATCTTACAAAATAGTGTTAGTTTCCTGATGTTGAGGTCCTTGCAGTTCTCGATCCACAATGTCTGTGAAGTACAAATGCCTATATGTAGAAATTTTCAGTCCCTTACTGACTTCATTGCTCGACAAGTTTTCGGATCATCAGCAAATAATAACAAATTGGTGTAGAGACAGTGCATAGAGTCTCTCATATCTTTCTTTAGGCCGCTACAGGGCGTACCCTTGTTTCCCTGAAGATTAACCAATGCAGTTTTATTTAGGGGGGTGGTCTCCATAGAACACTGGAATTTTATCAAAATTGTTTTAACCGTTACCGAGAAAACTGGAATTTTACACTTGGGCCTCTAGTACAGGTACTGTTTCTTTCCTGAAGATGTCACTTATTTCTTTTACTTCGATTTATTCAAGTAAACATTGTCCATAAATTAATGAAATATAATGTGTTAAAAACAAAAATTAGACATCTGTTATTTTGATATTCGATTTAATAGGCCCTGTAAACGAACCTCAAAATCCTTGCATACTCACTATCAAGTCGCCTCTATGTGTGTAACAGTGCCCCAAGGGCTAATACTGTATCACATGCCTCTGAGTAGAAATAATGTTGCGTGGTAGTTTAGTTCTGGTTCGTCAAAACGGGAAAGTAAGTAATGCAATACTTCTCGCATACTTCAAGCATGGTTTCACTTCATTAATTCATTATAATCATCCAGTCTTATGACATATTCGTACACGTAAGCCCGTGCAGAAGACAAAATTTTTGTTGTCGTTTTCGAAACATGCCCTATTTTGAATTTTGTCCAGAGACCAACTAATCGGAATGTTGTAGTTCGTGATTTTTCTCATCTCTTGAATCATGCCTTAAATTAGGCCACGATGATTTCTTGACACAACTGTCCCAAACTGTCATTCTCAATCATCCGAACGTCTCATTCTAAGCCAGATAATTTCTGCAACTGATACAAAAAACAAACTCCGTGGTCTGTAGTCCGCAAGCGAACTACACCGACCGAGCGACCGCCGCTTGTCGGCGAAGTTAGTGCCGACTTTAATAGATAGAGGGTGTCGCGTGGTCAGCGCAACGGATCCCCACGGGCGTTAATCTCGGTTTTCTAGTCCGGAGCCGCTATTTCCTTAATAGCTCCTCATTTATCCTCACGAG